ACTGTATGAATATGAGGAAGCTGCTATTTTGTGACATTATTGACTCTTGCAAGGACTGATACAAAGTCAGCTTCATTCACCCCCGAAAACACAGGGTGTATATGGTAGTTACAGCACAATTTTTAGTCCTATTGTTTACACCAGTAACTTCAATGTCCTTAAACTTTTGTTTTTAGTTCTATTAAATATAGACAGCACCTCTTGGCTCTCCATTTCATGATAGGAGGAGATTTGAACTGCTACTTCTCTTGAACTCCCCACCTCTGCTTCTACCTCCAAACTTCTTTTTTAGAAATGAGGCCTCCTGATTCATCCATGTCCCTACAAAGGACACAAACTCATCATTTCTGATTGCTGCATAATATTCCATGGTGTATATGTGCCACATTTTTCCAATCCAGTCTATTATCAATGGGCATTTGGGTTGATTCCAGGTCTTTGCTATTGTAAACAGTGCTGCAATGAACATTCGTGTACAGCAAACTGACACAAGAACAGAAAATGAAACACCGCATATTCTCACTCATAGGTGGGTGATGAAAAATGAGAACACATGGACACAGAAAGGGGAGTACTAAACACTGGGGTCTATTGGGGGGAAAAGGGGAGGGCCAGTGGGAGGGGGAGGTGGGGAGGGATAGCCTGGGGAGAAATGCCAAATGTGGGTGAAGGGGAGAAGCAAAGTAAAACACACTGCCATGTGCGTACCTACGCAACTGTCTTGCATGCTCTGCTCATGTACCCCAAAACCTAAAATCCAATAAAAAATTAAAAAAAAAAAAAAGAAATGAGGCCTCCTTCTGTTGCCCAGGCTGGAGTATACCTGATGCAATCATAGCTCACTGCAGCCTCAAACTCCTCTACCTTAAAACTTTTCAAAGCTGTACTCTCTCACATTTCCATAACAGATAACATTTATATTCCCTTCCATAACTATAATTGTCTTTTTTTCTTTTTTTGAGATGGAGTCTCGCTCTGTCGCCAGGCTGGAGTGCAATGGCACAAACTTAGTTCACTGCATCCTCTGCTTCCCAGGTTCAAGCAATTCTCCTGCCTCAGCCTCCCAATTAGCTGGGACTACAGGTGCAGCCACCATGCTCAGCTAATTTTTATATTTTTAGTAGAGACAGGATTTCACCATGTTGGCCAGGTTGGTCTCGATCTCTTGACCTTGTGATCTGCCTGCCTCGGCTGGGATTACAGCATGAGCCACCGTGCCCTGCCTAAGTCTTCTATAAGTTGGTTCTAATAGACAATAACCAATAAGCAGCATTAACATTATGAAAATGTTGGTCCACAGCAGAGCCAAGTAGTATGCTGTGATTGATTTTCCTCAGTGTGATCACAATGTCTCAACTCTGTGCTGCTCAGTTTCTCAAAATCATGATTTACTTAGTTGTGGCTTTGCCCAGTATTTTGTTGAAAGAAGAAATCTGTGCCATCTTACCCATTCTATTGCTTGGAATATTTTTCTTTTGAAAGCCCATTGACGACTCAGTTTAACTTAATTCATGTTTGTGTTATGATTTTCTTGTAGAGTCTTTCAGAAAATAAAATTTCTAGGTGCTTATTTTTATTTTCTTTGCCTGAAGTATATCTTCAAGTTCTTCCAACTGTGTGTTCCATGAAATACCTTTGTTTCTTGGATTCCCCATCCTTGCTCAGATATGAACTGATGGCTTAGTAACCCATGAAACTGACATTCTGGGTCACATCTGCTGTAGCCCAAATCCCATGGCTTCCTCATGGAACTTTGCTGTTTTACTGGAGTCTATGCTCTAATAACTCCTCAAGAAAAGGTGTCTGAAAGGTAAGCTTTCTGAGTCTTTGCATGTATAACAATGTCTTTATTTTGCCCTCACATGTAATTTGACTGGGTAGAGGTGTCTCAAGTTGAAAATCATTTCCCCTCCCGAACTTGGAAGCTATTATTCAACCATTTTTATTCCATTGTCGCTGATGATCAATCTAACGCCAGCATGCCTTTTGTTTCTTGTAGAAGTTTGTGTTCCCCTGCTTCTGGAAAGCTTTTCAATAGCTGGTCATTTATTTACCAAATTTTATTGAGCTCCTACTCTATGGCAGCCACTAGGGCTAGGACCTAGGGACACAATGGTGAAGATCAGATTATTTCTAATGAAGTTTCCCACATGCCCACCAAAGGCAATGCTTGAGGCATCTTCCTTTTTCTCAGAGGCAGAGACCAAATTAGCTTAACTTTGAAATATAGAGATTTTATTCTTACAGCTCCAGAAAACTGGGCTAGGTAGATAGCAAACATGTTAGATGCTGGTGTTAGATGTGTAAAGATGATGGAGAAGAACATAATTTAACAGAAAATCTTTCTGTCTGTTCAAAGTGTTTTCCTCTACTTTCTACCTTTCCCATATCTGTTTTGGTCTGTGTGACACTGTAGAACAAGTGAGCATGTACCCTTTGTCCTCAAAGGTTGGGATGCAGGCCTGTGAACCTGGAAAGAGAACAAAGCTTTCTAGTATGACAGAGAAAATGAAGATTAACAAGTCTGGTTTCCTCTTCCTGACATCAGCAAAAACCAGCTGTCAGAGAGCTCTGAATAATCTACCCCTCCTATTTCTGAAAGTGATTAATATTAAAACACTGCCAAAAGGACTTATATTTTGATTTTCAATTAAAAAGACACAAATGAAGGGGCAATGCAATAAATATGAGAGAAAAATTTAAAATTATAGTATTTGCATTTGTGATGTTTTTCCCATCGAATTCCACTGTGTCTGGTGGTCCCTGAAGTATCACCAGCGGGCCGTCATCCTGATATCCTGAAAAACTCTAAAAGGAAGAAGGAAAACACAATCTAAAAGGCAGGGTGGGTGTGACAGTTAGATCACCACGAAACAGGAGGAAAGTGCAGCTAGTCAAGGGATACAGATAAGTCATTAAAGTCCAGGGTTGAAAGGAAGTACATGAAATTGCAGAATGCCCATGTGGTAACTAATGACAGATTTTTTTTTTTTTTTGAGATGGAGTCTTGCTATGACACCAGGCTGGAGTGCAGGGAGCAATCTTGGCTCACTGCAACCTCTGCCTCCCAGTTCAAGTGATTCTTCCACCTCAGCCACCCGAGTAACTGGGACTACAAGCACGCACCACCATGCCCGGCTAATTTTTGTATTTTTAGTAGAGACAGGGTTTCACCCTGTTGGTCAGGATAGGCTCGATCTCTTCACTTGTGATCCACCCACCTCGGCCTCCCAAAGTGGTGGAATCACAGGCGTGAGCCACCATGCGCGGCCAACAGATTTCTAATAAAGGAACAAAACATTCAGGTTCTTTTGTTTAGCTCTTACTGCCAAACAAAGCAAGTTGCAAGACCAGTCAACATTTCATCAAGCAGCAGAAAGCTTCCTTCCATTGAGAAAAGCTAATAGAGGTGTCTCTTCATAGCCTCTTACTGCAAACAAAAAGGGCCAGTTTTCTCCTGATGTTTCTGCTATTAGAGAAGACTTGTGTATCGGTTGTGGTGGCTCACGCCTGTAATTCCAGCACTTTGGGAGGCCAAGGCAGGCAGATGACTTAAGGTCAGGAGTTCAAGACCAGACTGGCCAACGTGGCGAAACCCTGTGTCTACTTAAAATACAAAAATTAGTCAGACTGGTGGTGGGTGCCTGTAATTGCAGCTTCTCAGGAGGCCGAGGCACGAGAATTGCTTGAAATCAGAAGGCAGAGGTTGCAGTGAGCTGAGATTGCACCATTGAACTCCAGCCTGAGTGACAGAGAGAGACTGTCTAAAAAAAAAAAACTTGTAAAGACAGGGTGGAAAGAGCATATTTAGAATAATGTATCAGTGCATATCCTAGCCAATCCTGTTACTCTCCCTGAACCCTGAACCTCAGATGTCTTGTATGTAAAGTGTAGCAGACTGAAAACACAAACGGGACTCTAAATTTCTAAAAAGGCGTATTTCCTCTGTTTCTTTCTTTAACTCATTCTAATTTAAAAAGCTTAAACTGTAAAATTGTAAACTGGTCTACCTGCTTTACGTATTCCTAACGTTAGTCAATGCGTTTGCTGAACAACGTGACAAAGTTATGTTTAAGAACATACATGCACCGATTCACCCACTGAGGTCTCTGCTACCAGTTTGGTCCAGGAATACATAATCAGCGTCCTGGTCCCAGGTAGCGGCATGATCAGCACCTACTGCCCATTTCCTCAGGAGACAATACTTTCCTTTCCAAAATGTTTACTGTTTATTTGCTCAGAACAGATGGATCTTCACTTGACTTACTACCTGAACCACCATCTTCTTACATTATCACTTTAAAGCAGACTTAATTCATATAATTTTGTGACATCACCTGGAATCAACTCTAATCTGAAAGTTCTTCTGGAATATCTGTGGTATCACCATTTCTAAGCACCTCAGCAGTCTAACAGGCATGATTAACTTAGCCAAATACAAAAACTATTTGATACTGCCTTTGTAGGAGTCAAATTATTTTTTCTCTTTTTTTTTTTTTTTTTTTTTTGAGACAGAGTCTTGCTCCGTCTCCCAGGCTGGAGTGCAGTGGCACAATCTCAGCTCACTGCAATCTCTGCCTCCTGGATTCAAGCAATTCTCATGCCTCAGCCTCCCGAGTAGCTGGGACTACAGGTGCACACTGCCAGGCCTGAATAATTTTTTGTATTATTTTAGTAGAGATGAGGTTTCACCGTGTTGCCCAGGCTGGTCTCGAACTCCTGAGCTCAGGCAATCCACCTGCCTCGGCATCCCAAAGTGCTGGGATTACAGGCGTGAGCCACTGCTCCTAGCCAGGAGTCAAATTCTTAATGTATTTATAACTTCATAAACTGCAATTCACAGTTATGACACCAAGTTAACTTTGCTCCACCCCTTTTTAGTTGAGGTTCCAGATTTCTGCTTCAGGTTGGAAACTGCCAATGCAATGTTCAGAGCATGTCCTACTCCAAAGTCATATATTATCTTTCATATCCATGTATGACAGACCAAGCCCCATTTGCTCGTTTACATTTTATCATTGTTATTAGTAATAAACCAATAGAAATTGAATAACAAAGGAAAAGCTCAAAATAAATAATTTCTTCCTTGTGACTTGAAACACATGCATACACACACGTCGTCCTCTGTGTGTGCTACTTCATCACATTGTGTCCTATGGCACAAATAGTTACACAAAAGTCTACAGAACTTGAGTTGCAGACCCCAGCTGTGTAAAGCTCAGGCAGACTCTCAGTCTAGATTACCAGCTTCTCCACGCTAAGTGTACTTGTGGTTTCATCCTCTTCATTTGACCCAAAATATCCTGGGAGGTCCAGCATCCTCTGCTCAGCCTCAGTGAGGCCAAATGACGTATTGTCATAGAAGGCAAACTCGGGGTGAGCCGGGAAGCTTTGACACTTGTCTTTCCGACACTGAGAAGGGCTCAGAGGACTGACCCTCTGGTAGCTATCTTTGGGGGATATGGGAGAAGACTGTTTCCTTGAGATACTCTTGTGACTGGGGGACGGTCCCCGACGAGCTCTGTGAGGCTCTGTTCTCTCAGTTCCTGCCACTAATCCTGCCTGGCGATCCCCAAGGTCTGGTTTTCCCAAGGGCTGCCCCAAAGTGTAGCATTTAGGGAGAGGGCTTAATGGGCCACCGGTTCCACCTGCCCCATGGGAATGCTCCAGCCTCTCAGGAAACAGGTGGGCGTCTCGACTCGGAGGCCTAGATCTGTCGTCTGTCTGCTCCCAGGTCCGCATCCTAGAGCTGTAGGCGGGCGTCTGCCGTGGAGTCAGAGTGGACATGCTCCTCTCTCGGAACGGCCGGGCCTGCCTGGTTTCATGGAAACTCGCTGTCCTCCTGAAATGCGCGTTCCTGGCATGGCTCCTCTCGGACGGGCCCCCTCTGCTGCCCACGTGCCTCGCCTGTGACTTGCGGATCAGAGTCTGGCTGGGGCTTATGGCACAACTGGCCTGCGTCACACTTAGATCCGGCCTGGAGGGAGGCCTTTCCCCAGCGCTGACCGCAGGCTGCTCCAGAAATGGGGATTTGATCCGGAACTTGTTTGCTGCAGCTTCTTCTGGGCTTTCCAAGTCTAAGGGGGCGCTGGCGGCCGCGTCAATGGCAGTGTCTGTCAGGGGACTCTGAGACACGTGGTACACTTTCGTGGTTTCCGTCAGACCTTTCTTTTTCATCTCCTTTAACTGCTGCTGGGCGAGGCGGTAGCTGAACAGAGGGGGGATTATCTTCTGGGCGTTGGACTGGAGGCTCTCGCTGCCAGAGGCATCGTCCTCGGGAGGCCCCAGCCCGCTCCGCCTGTAGGTCAGAGGGATGCCCGTGTCCCCCGGACTCCCCGTGGGCCCGTCTCCCCCATCCGAGAAGCTCCCGCGCTGCTCGCTCAGCTCGCAGATGTTCTCCTCGTCCGAGTTCTTCCGGAAACCGGGGGAGTGGAGGGAGCTGTGTCGAGCAGGGGTGCTGCACTTGGCGGGGCGGCCGAACCTCCTCCACAGCGTGATGAGCACGGTGGCAATGATGATGAACAGGCACAGGGATATGCCAGTGACAGTCACGATGCTGTTGGACTTTGCTGGACCCTGGGGCTGAAGAGGAGATGGGCTGGATGGCTGGAAAGCTGAAAACAAACAAACAAACAAAAAAACACAAAAACAAAAACACAGAGGAACAGTTTTTTGTTGTTTTTTTTTTTTTGAGAGAGAGAACCTCACTCTGTCACCCCAGCTAGAGTGCAATGGACCCATCTGGGCTCACTGAAACCTCTGCCTCCCAGGTTCAAGCAATTCTCCTGCCTCAGCCTCCTGAGTGGCTTGGATTATAGGCATGTGCCACCAAGACTGGTTAATTTTTTTGTATTTTTAGCAGAAACGAAGTATCACCATATTGGTCAGGCTGGTCTCAAACTCCTAACCTGTGAACCGTCCACCTTGGCTTCCCAATGTGCTGGGATTATAGCTGTGAGCCACTGCACCTGGCCCAAATACATATTTTGTAGTATTGTTTGCTCTGCACAGTTTTAAGGTATCTGCGTCACTTGCTCGAATTATCTAGCAGTTCTGGAATGAAGGAACATATACAAGGACTGGGATTTCTGGTCTTACATATGGATTTCTACTGGCAGCTGAAGCTAAACAGGATCACCAAAGGAGAAACACTGCACAAACAGAGACCTACAGAAGCAAGGTGACCTGCTAAGCCATAATCAAGGTGACTCTGTGCTCACCAGCTCCTGCTAGAATTGGCCTCCAAGTTTCCACACAGAAGTAGCATGTAGAAATTTTCAAGGTAAAAATTAGTGTTCACTTAGGATAATGTAAATGTTGTACCTAAAGTTAAATGTACTCTGAGAGGCACATCAGAAAATACCAAGTATAAAATGTGAAACGCAAAATGATTTAGGCAGGCCAAATTTAGGTACCTAAATTTGCACATCTTAGGAGAAATTAATGGATGAAAATGAGATGTGGCAAAATATAACACAACTCATCTCGCCCTTCTAATATCCAGAAACTGTCTTTCCTGAGTGTTAAAGCCTCTGCGTTCTCACTCTTCTATTTTCAGCCATCCACTCCCCGTCCTACCTTCTATGTGAGGCGGATTTTTCTTCTTTTTCCCTGCTTGCTCAAACTGGTTTGTCCCATGGTCATCAAAATGTAGGCACCACCTGGAGCCTCTACCTGTACTGCCACTGAAACACCTGGAAACGTGAGACCCTGAGCTCCCAACTCTTTCTGCTTTGGTCACCTGTCCTATGGCTTTGCTCCCATGGTTGTATCACCACCACCGGCTCTTCATCTTCTCCACCCGTCCTCCCACTATCCCCTAGGGGACAGCTGATTACAAATTCCCCAACATTCCTCACTGATCCACAAAACACTGCCTTCACCTCCTTGTCCCACCTGAAGCCAGGCTACCCTGCAGGGCCTGGTTTCCTCCAGTCCTCTCAGTGGAAGCTGTCACACATACTTTCTTTAGAAGTAAACAGGGTCAGCAGCAGAGTGTGCTCCTCAAGCTCATTCCTATTGCTATTTCCAACCTGCACCCTTCACCTCCCTAAAAAACTTCCACTCCTTTGATGCCTATGCCATCCTGGCAAGCAAATGTTCCACCCCTCCCTCAACACCATCAGCTCCCAACCTCCTGCTAGCCATCAGTCACTCTAGCACCTGGGTCCCAGCCTCCCTCACTATCCCAGAGCTTGGAGCATCCAGGTGACTTCAGGTCCATCCAACATATGGTACCTTCCCACTGTCTGCTCCTCTTCTAAAATGTTAAACTGCTCAACCTGCTCTCTATCTGTGTTCACTATTCTCACTCACTCACTATTACTAAACTGAGACTTCTGATTCTCCAGCCCTCCATTTTCTCACATCTGCCAGACGCTTCCTAGACTCACTACCGCCCCTAACCAATTTAGAACTATGATTCATTACTGAAACCACTTTCCTTCCAACAACCTCAACTCTCTCAGCCTCTAATACTGAGCTATACCCCTTCCCCTGCTCTGCAGCAGAAGTCCAACCCTAGACATGTGAATTCCCAGCTGCTGCACCCAGGTCCTGAGCACGGGTGAAGGAAATAACACAACCATGCAGGTCAGTACCCCCACACAGTCACAGCACCCAACCTCACCTGCCCACAAATCCTTCAGTGGGTCCCCTACAACACCTGCTCCCAATTTCACCACTTCCTTAAGCCCCATCAATCCACTTCCTTAGCACTCTAGTAGGACACACACACACACACACACACACACACAAAACAGAAGCCATCAGGCAAGTCCATGCCTGGCTTCTTCTGTCATCCTCCCCTGCCCCATAAACTTATTAGCAGCCACACCTCTATTTACCTTTTTTCCACATGATCAGTGGGAGAACTGTCCTCCTATAAAAGGTGAGGCCACAAGCAAATACTCCCTAGGCCTCCCTTGTCCAGGGTCCCCTCCGCAGCAAATCTCTCTAGCTACTCCTCTATGTAGCTCCTTTTCCTCAGCATAGAAACATACTTGAGCTCTTCTCACTTTATTTTATTTTATATTTTTTTGAGACAGAGTCTTGTTCTGTCACCAGGCTGGACTCCAGTGGCACAATCTTGGCTCACTGCAACTTCTGCCTCCCAGGTTCAAGCAATTCTCCTGCCTCACTGCCCAACCCTCCCCCCGCACCGCCCCGCCCCAAGTAGCTGGGCCTGCAGGTTTGTGCCACCATGTCCAGCTAATTTTTGTAATTTTAGTAGAGATGGCAGTTTTACCATGTTGGCTAGGGATGGTCTCGATCAACTGACCTAGTGATCCACATGGCTCAGCCTCCCAAAGTGCTGGGATTAGAGGCACAAGCCACCACATCCAGCCAGCTCTTCTCACTTTTAAAAGAACCTTCTCACACTCTCAGCCATATCTTGCCCCTTGTCTTCCTGGTCATGCTTACTGAAAAGAAGAGTCTGCCTTGCTTACTGCTCCTACATCACCTTTGTCTCCTGCAACCTATCCCCAATATTCCAATTAAACAGCTGCCACTGAGGTTATGAATGACCTCCCAATAGTCAAATGCAAAGGAGTTCGTTTCGCATCATTGGCCACTGTTAGACAGCTCTTCCAACTCTCTCTCTCCCTTCTGGTTTCAGTCAAAATATTCACTTATGTAAATTAGAGAGAATAGCATAGATTTTAGCTCCAAGGAGAGCTAGGTTCCATTCCTGGCTCCATTAGCTCTACCATGTCCATTGGCTATCCCACCACCTCCATCTCAAAATGCCCGAGACTCACCATCTCTGCCTAGAACATGTGCTTCCTCTGATATATATAATCTCAAAGGAATGGAATCACAGTTCCCACAGTTGCTAATTCTAAAATCCTGGGTTTCATCCTTCATGCCTCCTTCGCCATCACTTGCCACATACAGAGTCTGAATCCTCCTCTCCCTCCATCACAATTGCTGGCACTTCATTTTGCATGTAGGTTACTGCAAAACTCTTTAACAGGTACATCTGCTGCCATGCCTAACCTTCTGATTTATACTCCATGCTACAGCCAGATAGAGATACCACGAAAACACAGGTCCCAACCTTCAAGGCCCCTCAGGATATGCACCCCGTTTTCTTGGTTGGCCTCATGTCTCCCACCCTTCCCTGGCACACTATCATCCATCCACATTGAACTACTTTCAGTTCTCCAGTTCTCTTACTGTGCCATCTTCCATGCCTTCGTTCATTGCTCTCTTTGCTAAAACCCGCATTTTCACCTACTTCACCTGGGGGAAACCTCAGCTCTCCAATTTCAACTCTAATACCACCTTTTTGGCCAGGCGTGGTGGCTTATGCCTGTAATCCTAGCACGTTGGGAGGCTGAGGTGGGCAGATCACTTGAAGCCACGAGTTTGAGACCAGCCTGGCTAATATGATAAAACTCCATCTCTACTAAAAATACAAAAAATTAGCCAAGTGTGGTGGCACGCACCTTTAGCCCCAGTTACTTGGGAGGCTGAGGCAGAAGAATTGCTTTAACCCGGAAGGCAGAGGTTGCAGTGAGTTGAGATCGTGTCACTGCACTCCAACCTGGGCAACAGAGCCAGACTCTCTCAAAAAAAAAAAAAAAAAAAAAATTTTTTTTCCAGTCTCCTCCAAGACTGGAAATGTTTTGAGTTTGGATTATTACTCCTGAAAGCTTCTATAGCAAGCTCTGGGTACATTTTGAACTGTAGGCCCTATAGTATTGTATAGTATTAAGCCTGTTTATGTGCCTTCCGAGCTACTATAAGCCCCTTCTAGACAGTCAAATCATATTAATACATTCCGAACCACAGTCACAGTGACTTGCATAGTTAGTTCTCAATAAACACTAGTGATTCACTCTTTCATTATTAAAAAGGCAATAGCAAAATGATCAATATTCCAACAGATGGAACATAGGTGAAACGACAATTTAATTGTACTGCTACTCTCTTATTGAACACGATAGACCAAATAATGTACAACTACAATCAGACCTTGGCGGAAGAACATTCTTTTAAAGCCAAACCAACCTCTGAACTCCCAAACAAGTGAAAACAGTTGAATGATGACAGACTTGTTCCCTGATGGATCACTTCCTTCAACTCCAGTGGCTCCTCATGACAGGGGTAGCAGCATTGCCAGGACACACCGTGAACCTCTTCACTTGAGTTTTTACTTATCTTTTACTTATTTTTTCTTTTAAATTTTTCACTTATCATTTTACTCTGGCTGGCTTCCTTTAAAATCATAGCTGGAGAAAAGCCCAAAAGCTGCTGGCCTCACCCATCTCTATCTCTAGTTTTTCCTCTTTCACATGAACTAAAGGAGATGTGTTGATGTTATGCAGCCAGTGAATATATCTTTACATTTCCAAAGAATGGAAAATAGGTTGACTAGGAAGGAGAACACTTGGAAGAAAGGATCGTTTTTATCCACATAAGCAATTATCTGAGGACCACTTACAGTAGAGGCAGGCGAGTCTGTAGGACTTACTCTTCTTGCTAACTTAAAATGTACAATTTCCAGTTCCCACTCAGTATTAAAGAATTAAGATGCTAGAATATGACATAATATCACATTTCTTAAAAATGATTGTTAATTCCATTTTGTTGAGCCTTCTTCTAGAAAGCCAAATTATCCTGTATATAAAAGCAAGGTATTCAGGATAGGTAGCTTGGCAAGGAGTCACATCTAGTGACTGCCACTTTCTAGCTTCATGATCTTTGTCAGGCCACTCATCCTCTCTGTCCCCGAGAGTCCTCATCTGCAATGTAGAGATAAGACTGTGCCTACTTTATGTGTGCAGGGCTCTTAGAAAAATGCCTGGCAGGCAGTAAGTTCTCAAGAAGTCTGAACCCAGCCCAATTATACCTACTTTGTGGAATTACTGTCAGCCTGAAGTGAGATTATGTGTTTTAAGTGTTGCCACATGGCACATAATCAATAACGGTAATACCAATAAATACCTATTTTCGTCACATATAAAAGAATAGCAGTCACCAATGGCCACTGAGTTTAAATGCATGAGTGTTATGGAACTCAGATATGAAATGTCTGCATACATGATCCCATCCCAGAGTTGAGAGGATGAGGTATATTTGAAGGAAGTTATAGACACAGAAGGTCTGTACAAAGTGGAGAGGACTTATAAAGAGAAGAGGAGACAAAGAATAGAGCTTTAGGAAACAGAATGAAATATCACTGAAGAAATAATGAATTCAGGGCGGGGCCAATGAAAGAAGACAGGCAGATGGAGGCCTAGGAGAAGAGCCTGGGTCAGAAGCTACAATAAGAAAAAACAACAGAAGAAAGAATAATATCCTAAAAATGATGGAATGAAGGGAACAAGGCCGATGATACTGGCTGGGAAAATAATAGAGCAGCAAGGAGTTTAAAGGCCACAGGTGGGGACACTGGCTGAGACGCTGCCAGGTGCCTGTGGTTTGGGCCAAAAGGTACTCTGAGATCTGAACACAGAAAAGCACGTAACTCCTCCAGATCCCAAAGAAACAAGGAACTAAGATGGTCTTTTAACCTGGAATTGGAGAGTACGAGAAGATGGGACTTGACAGAACTTTAAGAGTCAGGACCAGGGCAGAGGCTGGCCAAGTCAATGTGGACTGTCCGTCAGGAGGCGAGATGGTGTGTGGGAAAAGCGGTGACTATTCAGTGTGTGACTCGTGGTAAGTGAACACGATTCAGCTCCATAAGCTGGGGCAAACCCAACTGAACCATGCGAGCAACTTACCTATAGACCATTTACACCAAATACTCACTGACCAGCTACTAGCATGTGCCTTGAAGATACTTAGAAGATGCAGGAAAGGCCAGTCCACAGGTGAGAGCAAGAAGAAATGTCCCTCTGGGAAGGGGTGGTAAGGAACAACTTAGGCCGCAGGGAATTAGACAGGCAGTCTTGCCTCATTCTGACAAATACTGGTCTATGTGGTCCCCCGGCTTTTCTGGGTTGATAGGGAGAAAACTTAAGGAAAACTGTTTTTCCACAGTTTCGATAGGGAAAAACAGGGAGAAAAAAAAAATCTTATGAAGAAATGGTTCCTTCTATATTTTTTGCATTTTTAGAAATGATTTAATATGTCTGAATCCTTAATATTTCCTTATCATTTCCCTGTCTTCTACAGCGGTAAATCCCATCATCTCACTGGTAAGCTACTCTCCCAGCTACTCCCAGTCTTAGAGACACTAACGTATACAGGGCTAGTACAACTAACAGCAATCACAGAGTATTCATGAGTCTACTCTTGACCTCAGACTCGTAACTCTCGGGCAGACCTGGGTTCAATATACCTTCTGATGAAGGATCTGAGGAGAGACTCCTGAAGGAAGCAAGAACACCTACCAGCACACTCCTCCAGGGAACACAGGGAGGTCTCCAAGGGCATTCCAGGGCAGCCGGGTCTGGAGGAAAAGGAAGTGAGACACTCTCGGCGACGCTCTCTGACACCATCCCCACATGTGGTGCTACACTGGCTCCACGGCTGCCACAGTCCCCAAGTTTCTGCAAGGATATAAGTTATGCTTTTAACGCTAGTTCATTTGAGAGTCAGTATGTAACTGCACCCAAATGAAACAGCAAAACTCAAATCTCAGGTCTTGAAAAGTCTGTGAGTAAAAGCATTCCCAGATGTAGAAAGCTGAAAAGAGTTGCTCCTAACCTAAAAAAAGAAAGAAAACCGTATAATTTACAAAATCTTAACCTTTCCAGAACCCACCAAAGAGCTAAAGTCACAGGACAACTAACTATCCTGCAATATAAGAAAAGATAGGATCCTCCAAAAAAAATGAGATGCCATTCTTGTTTACCAGGGGCAGAGTTCACCTAAAAATGTCATGAACTGCCAAAAGTCTAGTGGATTAGCACAGAATATAGAACCCCTATGACTCACATACACAAGCAGAATTTATACTCACTTGCTGGATCTTCTCCACAGAGCTCATCAAATACAAAAAGGACTGAGGGCAGGTACCAGACCAGACAAAGCCTCCCTCATGGCGGGGGCCCAAGGAGAGAAGGGGCAGCACTGTGGGAAAGACACAAAACCTCACCTAGATCCTCTCTCCATTTCCTTTACTGAATAAAATCTTCAACCACTTGGGAAAAGGCCTCAAACCCTATCATCCTAAGAGCACCAGCTGATATCAACTGCTTCTAGAGAATGGAAAAAGAAACTCCTTCACCCTTGGGGAAGAGCCAAAATTATCCTGGGCCCACCCAGACTATTAGAGATCTTCTACCACTGGGGAGGAGCAGGATCATCAGAAAGTCCCCACTCCTGAAACGTAGGAACACAGCACTTGCCTAACACTGAGGCTGAACTAGGACAGGAGAATGCCTTCCCTCTGCTCCAGGCTAGCAAGTGCCAAGTATCAAGTAACAACAGTCTACTTCTGAGGAAGAGGCAGAGCAAGAGATGAAAGCCTCTCTGATGTACAGGTTCACAACCAAAGCTGAGGGTGGGACAGAGCATGGAGAAAACCCCTATGGTGATGCAATGCCTGCCCTAAAGACAAAGTAACACTAGAAAAATTTCCAATGTGATAAACACTGAGGGTAGCCATAGCAATGGTAAAAACCCAGACACAGTTCAATTCCTTACATTAACCCAATACCCACATTAAAGGCCCGACAAAAACAGACCTATGACCATTTCCAGGCATAAATACCTCCATGTCTACAGTTTCAAACAAGGTGTCCAGCTTTCAACTCAAAATTATTAGACACAATAAGAAGGGGAAAAAAAACATAAAACTCTCAAGATTCAAAGTAATCACGATAACCAGACTCAGATGTGACCCAGATATTAGACCTGTCACAGAAAGAATTTAAAATAGCTATGATAAATATGTCAAAGACTTCAGTGGAAAAGGTGAGCAAGATGCATAAACAGATGGCAAATTTCATCAGACAGTTGGAAACTAAAAAATCAAATGTTAGAATTTTAAAATATGCTAAAACAGATGAAGAAGGCTCATCAATAGACTTGAAACACTTGAGGAAAAAACAGTAAATGTAATATAGGTAAATAGAAATGTCTCAAACTAACACACACAAAGAGGAAAAAATGAGTAAATAAAACAGAATAGAAGACCGGAGAGCTGTGGGGCAATATCAGACAGACTCCCATACATGCAATTGGAATTTGGAGGAGGAGAAGACAGAATAGGACATAATAAATATGTCTAAGAACTCTCCAACGTTAATGAAAGACCCCAAACTACAAGTCCAAGATGCTCAGAAAACACCAAGCAGGATAAATGCAAAAAGCAATATGGTCCTCCAACTGCTGAAAACTAAAACAACCAAAAAATGTGAGGGCTGTGGCTGAAGAGGGGAGAATACACCACCAGAGAAGAATGGCAATAAGAATTACAGCTGACTTCTTGACAAAATTATCCAAGCCAGAAGACAACAGAATGCCATCTCTGAAGAACTGAAAGAAAAAACCACCCCAGTAAAATATATATATATAATTTCAAAAATAAAGGAGAAATAAAGACTTTTTAAGATAAACAAAAATGGAGATCATGCATTAGCAGCAGTCCTTAAATGCAAGAAATGTTCAAAGAAATCCTTCAGGCAGAAAGAAAATGTTACCAGAAAAAAATCTGCCTTTATCCAAAGAAATGAAGAGTGCTGGTAACAGTATATATAAAGATAAATACAAAAACCATTTCTGTCATGTGTAAATGCTCTAAAATACAATTGATAGCCTAAAGCAAAATAGTAGCAACGTATTCAGTGTTTAATAGCATATATAGGGCCAGGTTCGGTGGCTCATTCCTGTAATCCCGGCACTTTGGGAGGCTGAGGGGGGTGGATCACGAGGTCAGGAGTTTGACACCAGCCTGGCCAACATGGGGAAACCCCATCTCGATTAAAAAACTACAAAAATTAGCTGGCATGGTGGTGCATGCCCATAATCCCAGCTACTTGGAAGGCTGAGGCAGGAGAATTGCTTGAACCCGGGAGGCAAAGTTTGCAGTGAGCTGAGATAGCACCATTGCATTCCAGCCTGGGCAACAAGAGCAAACTCTTTCTCAAAAAAAAAAAAAGCATATATAAAGTAAAATTGTGACAACAATCACACAAAGAATGGGAGGAGCGAATTGGGAGTATATTGTTCAAAAGTCCCTGTAGCACACATGAAGCAATATAATACCTGGAGGTGGACTGAGAGTAAAGATGTATACTGTAAACTCTAGGACAACCACTAAATAAATACTTTCTTTTCTGAGAAGGAATCTGCTCTGTCACCCATGCTGGAGTGCAATGGCGTCGGCAACCTTCACCTCCCAGGTTCAAGTGATTCTTGGGCCTCAGCCTCCCAAGTAGCTGGGATTACCAGCATGTGCCATGATGCCCAGCTAAGATTTTTTGTATTTTTAGTAGAGACGGGGTTTCATCATGTTGGCCAGGCTGGTTTCAAATTCCTGATCTCAGGTGATCCACCTGCCTTGGCCTCTCAGAGTGATGGGATTACAGGCATGAGCCACCAGGCCCAGCCCACTAAATACATTTTTAAGGTATAAACAATAAACCAATAGTATAAAGTAAACCATTAAAATATTCAATTAATCTAAAATAAGGAAGGAAAAAAACAGAATGGATGTAACAAATATAAATCCAGCAAAATAAATCTTAATCCAACCATATAATGATAAAACTAAATAACCTAAACACTAAAAGACAGAGATTGTCAGATTAGATAAAAAAGCATGATCCAACCATATGTTATTTTTTTTAAAAGCCCACTTTATGTATAAAGACATACATATGTTAAAAGTAAAAAGATGGAAGATATTCCTTATGAACATTACGCAAAAGAAAACTAGAGTAACTACATTATATCAAACAAAATAGATTGCAGAACCAGGGATATTGCCAGGGATAAAGAGCAACATTACATAGTGATAAAAGGGTCAATTCAGCAACGAACTTTAATCCTAAATGAGGACATACCTAACACTGGAGCTTTAAAATGCACACAAAACCCTCCCAGCTATTATTGATTGATAAATGTGAACATCTCATCCAAGCAGATATGCAATCACTGCCAGATAGAATAAATGAGTAATTTCCCTATAAAGAATTATTTTGGCAGGCGTGGTGGTGCACGCCTGTAAATCCCAGCACAGGCCAGGCAGGTGGATCGCTTGAGCTCAGGAGACCACCCTGGGCAACATAGCAAAACCCATTTCTTTTTTTTTTTTTTTGAGACGGAGTTTCGCTGTTGTTACCCAGACTGGAGTGCAATGGCACGATCTCGGCTCACCGCAACCTCCACCTCCTGGGTTCAAGCAATTCTCCTGCCTCAGCCTCCCGAGTAGCTGGGACTACAGGCGCGCACCACCATGCCCAGCTAATTTTTGTATTTTTAGTAGAGACGGGGTTTCACCTTGTTGCCCAGGATGGTCTCAATCTCTTGACCTCGTGATCCACCTGCTTCGGCCTCCCAAAGTGCTGGGATTATAGGCGTGAGCCAGCGTGCCTGGACAGCAAAACCCATTTCTACAAAAAAAAAAATACAAAAATTAGCCAGGGATAGTGGCATGCACCTGTAGTACCAGCTACTTGGGAGGCTGAGGTAGGAAGATCGCCTGGGCCGGGGGAAGTCGAGGCTTCAATAAGCCATAATCATACCACTGCACTGCAGCCTCGGCAGCAGAGTGAGACATTGTCTCAAAAAAAAAAAAAAAAAAAAAAAGAATTATTCTAAGTCCTTTCTCTATTAGTACCCATCCAACCCCAAAATCTAGCAGATCCTGCCATCATTAGGCACCAACACAGACTCTGTATAAAAGACTCTCTTCATCCTTTGTGGACAAAAACTTCTAATGCAGCCAAAGGTATACAAAGCCCTAGAAAACATAAAGAAAACGTGCAGGGCAGATGCATTCGCAGGTGAGCCAAGTGGTGCAATCTTTGGATTGAGTAATGGAATATGAGTTCTTTACAGCAATTAAAAGGATTTTCAGAAGAGTGGGAGGGTTACAAACCAGGATCCTGGACCAACATCAACTGAGGTGTGCTAATTATGTTCCATCTAGAGGTCCAAGTGAAGACAATATTAGTTCTGTGCCTCTGAGATCACACTGCAGCTCCTCGTACAGCATAACAATGAGCTGGCTTTGTCCTCAAAGCTTCAGAGCTGTTCCGATACTAAGCGTCACTGCTTGAAAAGCTTTGAGAATCACAGTCTGAGTGATAGTACTGTGATTTGTTTTTGGAAAATCTACTTGAAATCCCACTACTGTAAAATCTAAATTGAAAATTAAGTCAATATATAATTTATTCTTCTCCATGCTCACATTCAAGACCACAAAAGGTAGAATTACACATGCTAAGAATTTTTGTTATTCCTTCTGAGCTCTTTTACTTTATATAACTTATTTAAGTACATAGAGTCATTTGTCAAACTAAAAATAAAAATTCCACTACTTAGGATCAGAAAAAAATCAGTTTTTATAAAAAAGTATATATATTTTTAAATTTAAAAATTGTGTGTGTGTGTATGTACACACCCACATACATACATATATAATGGAACTCACATCCCATTACTTACTCCAAAGATTGCACCACTTGGCTCACCTGAGAATGCATCTCCCTACATTTTCTTTATGCTTTGTAGTACTTTGTATACCTTTGGCTGCATTAGAAGTTATTGTCCATAAAGGATGAATAGTCTTTTATGCAGAGTCTGTGTTGGTGCCTAGTGCTGGCAGGATCTGCTAGATCTTGGGTTGGATGGATACTGATAGAGAGGGGACTTACAATAATTCTTTTTTTTCTTTTGAGACAATGTCTCATTTTGCTGCCAAGGCTGGAGTGCAGTGGTGTGATTATAGCTTACTGAAGCCTCGACTTCCCCCAGCTCAGGTGATCCTCCTATCTCAGCCTCCTGAGTAGCTGGTACTATAGGCACATATCATTATCCCCAGCTAATTTTTGTACTTTTTGAGGAGATGGGTTTTTGCTATGTTGCCAGGCTGATCTCAAACTTCTGAGCTCAAGCAATCCACCTACCTTGGCCTCCCAGAGTGATGGGATTTACAGGTGTGTGCCTGTAAATCCTCTGCTTCCCAGGTTCAAGCGATTTCCGTGCCTTGGCCTCCCAAGTAGTTAGGACTATAGGCACATGCCAAAATGCCTGGCTAATTTTCGTATTTTTAGTAGAGACAGGGTTTCACTTTGTTAACCAGGCTGGTCTCAAACTCCTGACCAAGTGATTCGCCCACCTCGGCCTCTCAAAATGCTGGGATTACAGGCGTGAGCCACTGTTCCTGGCTAAAACCAAAAATCTTAATGTTAAAAAAAAAATCTCATTTTGAAATGTTGTGTTGTTTCCCCTTTAAAGTCATAGCTTGTAGGATACCAAACAATAAAACAAAATGAATATTTAAGCTAAGCTTTTATGTCTCAATTTCTAAGTCAAATTAATCAAACAATAAACACAGGAAATCACTGAAAGCAATGATCAAATTTAATTAGGCAAATATTTGGCCAGGCATGGTGGCTCATGCCTGCAATCCCAGCACTTTGAGAATCTGAGGTCGGTGGATCACTACGTCAGGAGATCGAGACCATCCGGGCTAACACAGTGAAACTCCATCTCAAATAAAAATACAAAAAAAATTAGCAGGGCATGGTGGCACATGCCTGTAATCCCAGCTACTTGAACCAAAGAGGCAGAGGTTGCAGTGAGCTGAGACCATACTGCTCTCCAGGTGGGGTGACAGAGCAAGATCCCAGCACTTTGGGAGGCCGAGGAGGGTGGATCACGAGGTCAAGAGATCGAGACCATCCTGGTCAACATGGTGAAACCCCATCTCTACTAAAAATACAAAAAATTAGCTGGGCATGGTGGCATGTGCCTGTAATCCCAGCTACTCAGGAGGCTGAGGCAGGAGAATTGCCTGGACCCAGGAGGCAGAGGTTGTGGTGAGCCGAGATCACGCCATTGCACTGCAGCCTGGGTGACAAGAGTGAAACTCCATCTCAAAAAAAAAAAAAAATTAGGCAAATATTTGTAAATGTCTTAAATAACTCCATCTGATCCCTAAAGATCTCTGCTAGTAACTTTGAGGAAAATACTTGGCAAATGTGAACTCTTTAGATAACTGTAGTTCACATGTTAGAAATGAAGAGCAAAAGGCCAATACTCCAAATAGTCCGTCGTCACAAATGAAAGGCTGTTTTGTTTTGTCCTGTTCCTGTTTAGATGTCCATACATGTGCTCACACTACATAACAAACCTGTTTGTCCAGGATAAATGCCTTTCAGGCTTTTATCAGGGTTTTAATTTTGAATAAGCAAAATATGTCTTAAATGTGAAAAGGGAGGTTTGTTTCTACCCATAAGACTATCTGAAGGAATGCTGCCTTTGAAATATTCACATCTGCAAGGCATTTTGTTCAAGAAATCAAGGTAACTGAACAAATCATGATTATAAGAAAACTCTATAGACGTAGCAGAGTAGCTATAAGCAGTAGGAAGATCAGTAGAACCTGGGATCCGCAGTTCAGATTTTCTTTGCATAGAACCAGGCTTCCTTATATTGAACAAATCATTCTTATACCCTGGGCCTGTGGGCTCCCAAGTGGTTATGGGTCTTCTAAGAGATGGGTGGCACAAGATGAAACAGTAAGTTAAGGAGGAAAAAACAGAACTTTTTTTTCAACCTAAAAGCTTAGTACTACTTAATACATGCATTGAGTCAATTGCATGGAAGGCAGTTACAGAATAGTGGTCAAAGCAAACTCTCAAGCTCGTCTACCTGGATTTGTGTTCTGACCCTACTATTTAAATATCATTGATCTTGGGAAAATTACTTCACCTTTCTGTGCCTCCATTTCATCACCTATAAAATTGGCAATGTAATGAGTTGAACTCATAGACTCATTATGAGGACTATATGGGTTAGTATCCATAAAGCACTTAGAACAGTGCCTGGTGCAAAGTGATCACTGTGCAAATATTCATCCCATTAAGTGGAATAAAGATTATGAATAGTCATTTTGGGCAAATCCATTATGTATTCCCTATAAATTATTTACATATTATCCTAAGATCCTCAGACACGTTTAGAAAAAGGCACAAACATAAAACACATTATTCTATTTTCAAAATAAATTCAGTGTGAGTCAGTGGCTTACACAAATCATGGTGGGCCCCTAAATAGTACCATTCGGCAAAAAAAGATACTCTCTGCTGGTCAGAGCTGTCAATCTAGATAGAAAATAAGAGAAGAACTCAGTTCAGTCATAAATTTATATACTCAAAATGCAGGAATCACTGAGGTTCCTTTCTCAAGCATAAATTTCATTTCTCAGACCAACAGCGTCAGAGTTTGTCTGCCACACCAAGAATCAGGGTCTCCAGGCATGTTTAGCTCCCCTCGTTACTGCCCCCAGCCCTGCTATTCAGATATATCTGGCAGTTGCTACATAGGGCAGCCCCATTGGGAGCCCCTGACTACCCTCCACCTGGACACACAGAGAACCACTCCCATTCTGCCCTTTTCCCATCTGCCCGGTGTCGCTGCTGCTGCAGGAAAAACTCCAGCCTTTAGACATGGAGTGGAAGCATCTGTGGAAAGCCCAGCAGCTGAAAACACCAACAAGGTGGACCTTCTGCCCCCATGTGACCTTAATCACATGGCCCCAATTTCTCAACTTCCCTTGATTCATTTCCATTAAATTCAGTCAGATTTATGCTCCTCCCGAATGAGTATTTTCTTTGGCAAAGGCAAAAATATCGGGCTGGGCACGGTGGCTCATGCCTATAATCCCAGCACTTTGGGAGGCTGAGCCGGATGGATCACCTGAGGACAGGAGTTCAAGACCAGCCTGGCCAACCCCATCTCTACTAAAATACAAAAATTAGCTGTGTGCAGTGGTGCATGTCTGTAATTCCAGCTACTCAAGAGGCTGAGGCAGAATAGCTTGAACAAGGGAGGTGGAGGTTGCAGTGAGCCGAGATTGTGCCACTGCACTCCAGCCTGAGCAGCAGAGCAAGACTCTGTGTCAAAAACAGAAACAAAAACAAAAAAAGAATATCTTAGATGAGTAAATTCATTCAATCTAACTGTTTTTCTCCTAATACCTAGTTGAGACTAGCCAAATCTGAGTTCAATTTTCACTTAATAAGCATGTATTGAGCATGTCTGAATGTGCCAGGCATACTAAGTGGGCCAAATAAAGACCATAAAAAGCTTCATAGCAGCACGAATCAAGTTTTGCCATCAAATGAACTTCCCCCATCTGCTGTGCAGAGGGGATGCATAGGGATAGAAAGACAGACAAGCAATGGCAGAAGTGATAAATGCCATGAAAGAGGAATGAAAAGATGCTGCCCAGGTTACAGCAGAGGAACTGAACCCGAGGTCATGGGAGAGTAACCCAAGCAGAGACCTGGAGGATGGGTTAATGTTAACTGGGAAGGTGACAGGAGGGTGTTCTAGGCCCCAGTGCAGAGATGGTGACTGCAGGGACCTGGGGGCAGCCTGACCATGGAAGGTTTGACTGACAAAGTAAGTTAAAGAGGGAAAATCAGAACCTTTTTTTTCAACCTAAAAGCTTTGTACTATTTAATACATGGATTGACAGTCGATTACATGGAAGGCAGTTACAGAATAGTGGTCAAAGCAAGTTCCCAAGCTCGTCTACCTGGATTTGTGTTCTGACCCTACTATTTAAACATCATTGACCTTGGGAAAATTACTTCACCTTTCCGTGCCTCCATTTCATCACCTATAAAACTGATCATGTAAACTTTGCCCAGTGAGATGACCCAGTGAAATGACTTTTAAGCAGGAGAACAGCCTGCTTAAAATTCAGCTGACCTGAATTTTAAACAATCCCTTTGGATGCAGTGAGAGAATGAAGTAGACAGCTAGAAACCAACTGGGAATCTGTTCTAAGAGTCTAGGCAAGGAGTAATGGAGGTTTAATCCACGTGGTATCAGTGGAACTGGGGAGAAGTGGAGAGACTGAGACACCCAGGAGACAAAGCCATAGGACTCAGTAATGTATCATTTACAGAAGGTAAAGAAGAGGACTCCTGGCTTCTGGTTTGATCCGTAAGATGGTGGGGGAAGACCTATACTGCTGAGAAGCAGGGTTGGGGATACGATGATGAGTGAGTCCAGAAATGCTGCTTCTGAGGTGCCAGGGAGACATCCAAGGGATGCAGCACCTGGATGCAGGAGATGAGTAGGGGAGACACACCCAGCTGGAGCCATCAGCATCAAGGTCAATCACCTGGCAAGTGTGTGAAGAGTCAATGAGAAGATGACCAGCACTTGAGGGAGACAGGCAGCGGAATCGGGAGGCCAAGGAGACTATGAAGAAGCAAGCAGGGAGGTGACAGGTGTGTGGTGTCACAGAATCAAGGTCAATGAAGACACTGGCTGAAGTGTACCTGGATTTGGAGTCCTGTACCTCATTTGCTGGCTGCCTCAGTAAGAGTATTTCAGGGGAGGACTTAGGTGTGGAAGCCAATTTGCAATAGGTTGAAAAGTGAATGGGAGGCAAAAAAAGAACTCTGAAGCACCAGGCAAATTGTCAAGCAGTTTTTGGGCTATAAAAGGAAGAATAAAGAGGGTGATGTCTGGGGGAGATCACAGGGTCAGGGTGGTTTTTCTTTTGGGACACAATAATTAAGTACATTTCAAAACTGATGAAAATGAAGGACAGTTGAGGATGGGCGAGATAGGGTACAATGACTAATGAAAGTTTCCGGAAACGAGCAGAGGAGCTGAGATCCACAGTGGAGAGAAGGAATAACACTTCTTCCATGGTGGCAGGAAGGGAGAGGAGAGGACGGGTCTGACGTCTACAGGTGTACAGATCTTTTGGTGAGAGGGTGGAGTTCCCACTTAGCGGCTTCCAGCTGCTCTGCATGGTAGGTGGAAAATCAACTCTGAGAGTTAACCAGTGGGCAGGGGTTGAGGTCTGAGAGGAGTGGAGAAGGTCTGAAAGGGCTGTTGTGTAGGAAGGAGCATTGGCCTGGGTGACATGCTGAGCAGCATGCAGGCCCTGCCAAAGGTGAAAGCATGATCCACCCATGGTGGCATCAGGCCACCTGTGTGTAACCTTGTCATGCAGCCTTAGAAGTGGTGCAGTGGGTGGCTGGCAGATGGCTGGATACGTGCAGAGCTGAGGTGTGTCCTGGCAGGTGTATCGGAAGGACAATGAGGCTGAGGAGGTTAGGATATTGGCAGGAGGGTGGTTAATGGGATGAGCTATGGAATCTAGGCTGCATAGAAAAGGGAGTACAAGGAAGGAAGTGGCAAGTGGAGAAGGAGAACGCCAAAGCAAAGGGACTTAAAGAGAGGAAGTGTGTACATTTGCAGCAAGGAACACTGGGAGTTGCAGACAAAGTCAGGCTTGTGCAGGGAGGGGACACTGGGCTTACTGGGGATAAAGATAAAAGCAAACAAGATGATTTCTGCCAAATTAAACTACTTGCTAAGACTTTTCCCCAAGAAAAGGGAAAGAAACACAAAGAGCAGCATAGGGAATGAATGGACTTGTCACAACCCCTTTGTGATTAGGTAGGGTATTACACACAGAATACAGGAATCTGAACACATTTTTTTAAATCTTGCTTTGATTTCTCACTATAAAGGCTGCATTCCTATATGAGTGACTTATGAGAGAAGAGACATGCTCAGCTAGAGGAAGACAGATGTTGCTAATTTGGGATTTGGTTTTGAACTCCCAGTCATCTCTCCATGAACTTACCATATGATTTAATAATGGGATTTTTAAAATATAATGTTTATTGAGCACTTCCTATATGCCAGGCACTGAGAATGTCACATGTGGATTTCGTTCAATCTCCATGACTCTGATGTGTGTACTTGTATTGCCCCTATTTTACTGATGGGGAAAACGGAGACTTAAAGAGGTTAAGTAGGTTTACTGGTACACTTAGTTTTTCAGCTAAGGGTGATAATGCCAGTTGGTACACTATAAGGCCTGAACCACAAAAATGATGGTACAGTTCATCTAAATTCTAAACGATAATTTTGATTACATGAAGGATTTGATTTAAAATGTTAAAAAATCTCAGTACAAACCTATACTTCTCTGAATTAGCATGCACTCCTCCTTTGCAGAAAAGTGGCTTCTGCTTGAAATGCCAAAGTCAAAGCAGTACTTATTCCTCCCCATGTCAAACAAAGTACAGTTAAAAACGGTCCTCCTCTCTCCCAGGGGCAGGCTGTTAACAGCCAAATGAGTGGTCCTCTTCCCAGGGGATCTGGGGGCCTCCTTGAAGACAGTGACTACTCCTTGGACGAAGGTGCATGGTGGAGGCAGCACCGTCACCTCCACCCCGGACTCGCATGTGAGTTCTGGCACCATCATCAGTTTGTATCCAAATTTCCGGGCCAGGTCAATGGGTCCTGTGGAGGTAATGACTGAGTCTCGCCCAAGCAGCTTCAGCACTACAGTGACATAGGCTTCCGTCCCCACAGGTGCACAGCCAAACTCAACCCACTGACCTTGAGCAAGTTCTGTCCTTTTGCTGGTTCTTATTTCCAGCGGCTGTCCTGAATTTCTCCTTGACTCAGGAAGACTGTTGGTGAAGATGACATCCACTGTGATGGCAGGCTTGTCCACAGGAAATGGGCACAGTGGTTGACTGGTAAACAGGCCCACTTGGAAGGTGCCTTCTGCTGCCTTGGAGCTCCTGTTCAAGTCAACATGAAAGGCAGGCCATTCCACCTTCAGAAAGGCACTCTTCTCCCACCAGGGGAATGGAGTGCTGGTGTCTGTTGCTTCTGGACTCATTGTGAACCAGTAGTCACCAGCCTCCTTGAAATAGAAGCATTCAAACGTGAGTGTTCCCTGGGACTGGTTGGTCAGGACGTGCTTGGTAGTTATGGTCTGATTGGTGTTGGCCTCCAACAGCAGGACAGACACATTCCTCAGCGTCCCATTAGCACCATCAAAATACTGGAAATCCACATGCACGGTATCATTGCTGAGGGCTACATGGCCTGGCTCTCTCAAGAGAAGATACTCAGCTTCTCCAAGAACTGAAATGAAGTGGTCAGAATTGGTTTTTAAAAGGTGAATTTGAGCAAAACTATTAGTGACATTGATGAAAACAGAATTTTTAATTTTTTTCCAAGACAGGGCCTCACGCTGTCACCCAGGCTAGAGTGCAGTGGCACAGTCACTGCTCACTGTACCCCTAACCTCTTGGGCTCAAGTGATTCTCCCACCTCGCCCTCCCAAGTAGCTGGGACTACAGGCACATGCCACCACACCAGCTAATTTTCTTTTTGTAGAGACTGAGTCTCACTATGTTGCCCAGACTGTTCTCAAACTCCTGGGCTCAAGCAATCCTTCCACCTCAGACTCCCAAAGTGCTAAGAGTATAGACATGAGCCGCGTACCCAGCAGAAAACAGCATTTTAGATAAGAGAAGTTAGAACAGAGCCAGGGATGATGTGAAATTATACTGAGTACAGATCCTGGAAGCTGGCCACTGTGCTCTCTGCACTCTGAAGCGGTTCCATTCCTTCATCTTCATCTTTCATGGTTATGTTTACAATGACTAGTGGCAAATACTCTGAATTCACAACTTTTGACAATGTGATATAACTGCAAGGAAAATCTATACAACTAGAATAATAATTTTTGGAATTAAAAACCCAATCTCATATTATTAATCATATTCTGGTGGTTGATATTTGGGAAAATGGATACACACTGAAGAGAAAGCTGGATTTAAATGACACAATACAAATTGTTCTGGATGACTTGAAATGGAAGACCCTAAATTTACTTCAAGTTGTTATTTTCTGATATTCAAGGCAAGCACTGGGAAATTTTTTACCAGTAAAGGAATCAGTGTCCTCAGTTTGTGTGAGGCAGAAATGTTTAGATGGATAAGAAATGTTGACACTTTATTATGCATGAATAACCAAAGGGATAGGGTGAACATTTATGAAATAACTAGGCTGGTCCTTGGCAATTTAATGACATTACAGCAACTTGTATTTGTCTAGATAGGACAGATGACTACTACTTCCCAAGTATCATTCTGTTAGGATCAATCATATCTTTTAAATCTTACCCAGCAGAGTACTTAAGTGAAAAGTGCAAAGAACAGACACACAAGAATCCTTGTTTCCCTTTTGAATCCTATCCAAATACATATCAAAGGAGGCAGAATTTGGCAATGCAACAGTCAGCTGGCCCGTGGTTAGGGTAAGAAACAGTTCTAGATGTAGGGACTGAAGTGCCCTTTAGGTTTGAAAAACAACTTGTGTAAGTATGACTTTATTATTATATATGCCTCATGCATATATATGTCCAAAGGGGCCCATGTGTTTTTTGTTTGGGCTGGCAGTCTTTAAAACACCCTTATAGATATATGCAAACAATGATTATTAGAATCAGCACATTAATATCCTGGCACACAGAAGAGTTTTTAATTAGCATAGCATTTCACCTAGTTCTCATTTCAGATTAGGTGAAATAAAAGACATAGAACTTGGATGACTTGAATGCTCGATTATTACTTGTTTGAAAACCATAAGTGGGATAAAGTTTTTTTCTCCAATTAAGCAAAACAAGTTGAGGGATATTCCCTTTTGAGATGACTCAAGGTAGATGATTCTGGTGAAGCATGCATACTGGTTCAGAGCCAAACTGCTATTTTTCTTGAACTAGTGGGTAAACAGACC